TAAAAAACAGATTATAAGACAGGATTTTTTTTTTTTTTCATAGAAATTTTCAAAATTTTGGGACAATATGGTCTGATAAAGAGTACATTTATATGCATGTTTAAGCCAGAATGATTCGACATTTAAATATGATTTCCCTACGACGTTAATGTATTTGAATCCCTTGGTCTGTTTCTTATTTCATGCTTCTCTGGGCCCCCATGAAAACACGCTGCCCCCCTCCTGTATGAAGGACCAACTCTGCCATATTTAAAAATAAATACAGAAATAAATAAATGCTCAATAAATGTATAAGCATACAATTAATTGCCAACAAAAAAGTGAGATATAAATGTATATAACTCTTAATTAGCTTCTTTATTTATTTGCCTTTGTAATATTTACCTTATTTATTTTTCTGTCCTTTATAATCTTCAACTTTATTTTTTAATTACTTATATTTTTAAGTATTTATTTATGTGCATGTTATAATATTTTTGTCTGTTTTATTTACCTTAGTTATTTCTTCGCCGCTGTTTATTTCTCTCTGCCTTTTTACATTTCTCTATGCATTTCTGTCTCATTATGCAAATGAGGAGGGGGTGTGTCCTAGAGAGTCAACTTCTGCTCATTGGTTGGCTTGGCGGTCCATCTTCTTAACTCACAGAGCTCAGAGTACTAAGTTAAATGTTCTCTTTTCTGTTGCTGTTGTTCAATAAAAGTACGTTTTAAGATCATTTGAGGCGAGAACCTTATACTTTTAAGCATCACCATATGGCCCATTCACAGATTTAATGCGTAATTTAAAAGAAAATGTGACGAACTTGAGAGGACCGTGGCAACCAGCAAAGCTCCGAAGCTGACGGCAGCCAGGTCTAACCGCAGCCCGTCTGCAGCGGCCCTCTCTCGGCATAGCCGTGTGTGAAGCGTGTTGGTTAGCATTTTACTACATCGGTCGAATCTACAGGAGGAGAGTCTGATGTCGAGTCTGAAGTAATTAGAACTTGAGTAGGGACTTTGCCAAACTTTGCCAAATACAACAAAAAATCGCCATCATAGCCTGGCTATAGACCTGGCTGCCGTCAGCTTCGGAGCTCCTTTTGAATCATTGTTTTTTTGATTAAGACTTTAGTCATGTCTGTGGAGGACTTTAATAAATCCCCATCAGTAGAATTTTTGGAGCAATGTTCTAGAGAACAATTGGTAAAAATTGCTGAACACTATAAAATAAGTGTTGGTGACAAAAGGTTGAAAGACAATGTCAAAGCAGTTTTAAGGGAGAACCTAATTGAGATGGGTGTTTTGTTTTCACCTTCCAGACCTGAAGATTTGGGTGCTCGGGTTGTAAAGCCTGACCTTTTGGATTTTGAGCAACAAAAAGAGATGTTAAGGTTGAGAATGCAACTGGAGAAGGAAAAGGAGTTGGCTTTAGAGAGGTTACGACAGCAGGCAGATTTGGATAAGGCTCTTGCTGTGGAAAAGATGAGACAGGAAACTGAATTGGCGAGAGTAAATTTGGAAAGTGAAAAATTAAATCTGGTGAAAGATGGCAAATTATCTGTGGAATCTTGTGGTGGGGACTCAAAATGCAAACCCTCTGATATTTTAAATGACTTGCGTTTGGTGCCCAAGTTTAGTGAAAAGGATGTTGACACTTTCTTCACTTTGTTTGAAAGGGTTGCAGACACAAGAGATTGGTCTGATTCAGACCGCATAATTTTGCTTCAGTGTGTTTTGGTTGGTCGTGCTCAGGAAGCTTTCTCTATGTTGAGTTTGAATGATGGCCAAGATTATGCTAGGGTTAAAGCTGCAATATTGAAAGCATATGAATTAGTCCCTGAAGCATACAGACAAAAGTTTAGAAACTGGAAAAAAGGTGACAAAACTTATGTGGAATTTGCAAGAGATTTGGAAATTCATTTCAACCGATGGTGCACTTCCTCTGAGGTTATAACACTTGGTGACCTCTGTAATTTAATGGTTTTGGAACAATTTAAAAACTCTGTTTCTCATAATATTTCAGTGTACATTAGTGAACAGAAGGTTAAAACGGTGTCAGAAGCTGCAGTGTTGGCTGATGATTTTGTCTTGACGCATAAAGATACAAGTGGAGAGCATGCAGATGGAAGGAGAGTTCCAAACTGGCATTCGACACATTCTGGAGGTTCTTTTCTTGATCGCAGTAACCATGATCTGGACAAAATTTTTAATTATTGTCACAGAAAAGGTCATTGGAAGAAAGACTGTGCTTTGTTGAAATCCAGAAATAAAAATGGAACTCAGGCTAAACCAGCAGCGTTTGCTGCATCAGTTTCTGTGAGGGTTCCTCACGAAGTGGCTGAAGTAAAATCTCCTGTGAAATCTGATTTGAGTTCGTACAAACCATTTCTGTTGGAAGGACAAGTTTCTTTGGTTGGGAGTGATGTTAAGGTGCCAGTTACTATCTTAAGAGATACTGGTGCATATGATTCGTTCATTTTGGCATCTGTTTTACCTTTTTCGGATGATTCTGACACTGGATTATCTATACCCGTGTATGGGCATGTCTGTGTTTCGTGTTCCAGTACATAAACTCATGCTCCATTCAGAGTTGTTTGAAGGAGAAGTAAGGATGGGTGTGAGACCTGCGCTGCCTGTGATGGGTGTTACAGTTATATTGGGGAACTATATAGCTGGAGGGAAAGTCTGGCCTGATCAACCAGAGTACCCAGTTGTTGTTTCAGTACCTTTGATCAGCAGTGGTCCTGATGACAGTGCAAAGTCACACCCTGACATTTTCCAAGCATGTGCTGTGACACGGGCAATGACAGCATCCACTGATGTACATCAGGATGTAGACTTGGGAAAAGATAAATGGATTCCCTCTTTATGTTTGTCTAATATTCCTCTGTCTATTTCACAGAATGATCTGGGACAGGAACAAAGATCTGACCCCACCATACAGCATTTATTTCAGTCTGCATTGTCTGCTGAGGAGTTGCAGAGCCATGCTCATGGGTACTTTGTTGAAAACAAGATATTGTTAAGGAAGTGGATGCCATGTGGTGAGAATGTTATTGGGGAGCCAGTTTATCAGGTTGTGGTGCCTTTGAAATGGCGTGACTTGGTTTTACAGGTGTCTCATGATGACTCTGGACACATGGGAGTTAGGAAAACCTACGACCGCATTTTGAGAAATTTCTTTTGGCCACGACTGAAAAAGGATGTTTCTTCTTATATTAAAACTTGTCACACCTGTCAACTTACTGGTAAACCCAATCAAGTGCTAAACCGGGCACCACTGTATCCTATTCCAACTATTGGTAGACCGTTTGAGCACTTAATAATTGATTGTGTGGGTCCTCTTCCCCCTTCACGTTCAGGTGCGAAGTACTTATTGACTGTTATGTGCCAAAGTACCAGGTATCCAGCAGCATATCCATTGCACACACTTGCTGCAAAGTCTGTGGTGCGGGCTCTTATGCAGTTTATTGGTATTTTTGGGATACCTAAAGTCATTCAGAGTGACCAAGGATCTAATTTCTCCTCTCATATGTTTGCACAGGTTTTGAAGCAGCTGCACATTAAGCATAACCAGTCTACAGCATACCATGCGCAGAGCCAAGGAGCACTGGAACGATTTCATCAAACATTAAAATCTTTGCTCCGTGCTTATTGTGTTCAGATGAATGCTGATTGGGAGGATGGTCTACCTTGGTTGTTGCTTGCAGCAAGAGAAGTAACACAAGAGAGTACGGGCTTTAGCCCTAATGAATTGGTGTTTGGTCATACTGTGCGTGGTCCGTTAAAAGTTTTGAAAGATGAGTGCCAGGATGTTGAACCACCACAAAACCTGTTGGATTATGTTAATGAATTAAGCAGAGACTCTTTACTGCTACTCAGTTGGCAAAAGAGAAACTATCATCTGCACAGGAAAAGATGAAGCGTTTGTATGATAAGAAAGCTGAACATCGTGTTTTCCTTTCAGGTGAACAAGTAATGGCTTTACTTCCTGTTGTGACTTCGCCATTTCAGGCCAAATTTTCTGGTCCGCACACAGTTTTGAAACGGCTGTCTGACCAAAACTATCTCATTGCAACTCCAGAAAGGCGGAAGAAACGGCGAATGCTTCATGTCAACTTATTGAAACCTTATCATGCTCGTGCTGATAATGTCTTGGTGGATGTTCACCCTGTGTGCATTGCGGAAACAGTGACATGTGCTGGTGATGAAGGGAGTGGTGATGGGTTGCCTGTTCCAGATTCAGCCATGTTAACTGGTCGACTCAAGAATTCCGAAGTATTGGATCACTTCAAGATGTTATTGTACAGGTTGCCCAGGGTTCCAGTGGGGACCCATGTATTGAAGAGGGGGGGGGGGGGGTGTTACAGCCCAAGGCCTTTTCCTCTGGGTCTCTAACCTCCATGTTTTGGACTCCTTAATTGGTGCTGATTGGAAGTGGAGGCAGCTGGCCAGTGTCTCCAGATGACGTCAGATCCACTTTAAGATGTACCACTTTCTTTGACTAAGCCCTTTTTATTTTCTTTCTGTCTCCCTGTCACTCTCTCCCCTTTCTCCCTTTCTTCCCCAACCAGTTATGATTTTTGTTAAATAAATTCCCTTTTTTAAGTTATCCCTAGCGTTGCTTCCCTTTCATTTGTTATGGTTTAAAAGAATTTGTTATGGTTTAACCATATGTCTCACTTTTTTGTTGGCAATTAATTGTATGCTTATACATTTGAGCATTTATTTATTTATGTATTTATTTTTAAATATGGCAGAGTTGGTCCTTCATACTCCTGGCCCCCTGGTACATTTGGTCTAGAACCGCCACTGTTTATTTGACATTTTCAGCTCTTCTAACAAAAAAAAGATTAATATTATTAGCACGTTTAAATATTGTGTGTGTGTGTGGGGGGTGGGGGGGGGTGCACATAGATTAATAGTCAGTTTCTAATTATTTATTGCAAAATAAATATTTTGAAATGACAGTTGGGAGTTTTATTTTTTCATCGTCCCTGTGTTTGTTGTGAAACGCGGAGCGGCTTCCAGGTCCCACATCCTGGTACTTTGCTGAGCAGCAGCTCCAGGCTGAGCTCCGCTCCCAGCGCTGCTGCTGGAACTCGGCCCGGTTCCGTCCAAACAATCGGCCGCCTAAAGAGTCCCGGAAGCGGGCTGCAGCTGGGAGGAGGCAGGGGTGCATGTTTGAGCTCTGCTCCCGCTGCTCTCCAGCCTCTCAGACCGTGAGGACAACAGGCGGAAGATGTTGTCCATTGTGCTGCTGAGGAGGACCGGACTCGCCGCGCAGAGGAGCCGCCGTGTTTCACACTGAGGGTGGGTGTCTTTACCTAAACTCTGTTTATATGCTTTATGGAGGTAGAGCCTTTGGACAAACACAAAGAATTTAAATATAAACGGGATAAAAACGGCTCAGGACGGGGACTCGTTTGTGAGTGAAGGGGGACACATTTAAAGAGACAGTGCCCCTTTCCTTCCTGGTTCCAGTAGCGGACATGTTTCCACGCGTGGCAGCGGATATAAGCAGGCAGCAGTTAGACCAGCAGCTCCTTCTGAGCACAGAGAATCAGACCAGCATCATTCAGGAAGGTTTGATCCACAGAGAGCTGCGGCGGCCATTCACAAACACACCTGCAATCAGCGCTTTATGTAGCATGGCACGTGACGAAAACAATCATGGCCAATTGGCTCTTAATTTGCACGTCACTTCCGGTGGAAATAAAAGGACAGAGCAGGGGTAGGTGAAGGAGGTTTCATTCAAACTCATTCACAGGATTTATCCTACGGAAGAGGATTAGGGCCACTTAAAAAATAAAAAAGTTAACTAATTATTACATTTTATTTCAGTATAACATGAGAAAAAAGTCAGAATTCTGAATTTAATCTCAGACTTCCATTAATCAAATAGCATCACCAGGGACCCCTCATGGATGTAAAAAGTCGCCTAATTCCGTCTTTTTCCACGAGTGTGTTTGCCTCGTGAGACCATCCTGATCTCGCGAGCTTTCAAGGTTTCACTCGCAGATCAGTCTGGAGACTCTCCGTTAAAGAAAATTTGGAGCCGTTCACCAAACGAACGTCCAATCAGCGTTGGCTTTGAGGCGGGTTGAGGTGTGACGCAACGAGAAGCGCGACAGTTCAGTCTAAAGAACATGGCGGCTTCAGCCGATGAAACTAGCGTTAGCGTGGCTATCGAGCAAGTTTTATGGGAATTACAGAGTATTTCTTCACTGAAAGAAGAGCAAAACACTGCTCTGGAGGCTTTTCTCAGAGGAAAAGATGTTTTTGCTCTTCTCCCGACTGGTTTCAGCAAGAGTTTGATCTATCAATTGGCTCCTCTTCGTCGTCGCTCTGTTATAGGGGTGTGCAAAATAATAGTGATGATGATGCATCGTGATTCTAATTTCCGTGATCTACTGCATCGATTCTTGATGCCAAGAATCGATTATTAATTTAAAAAAATGAATAAATAAAATTGCATGAATGGTTGGCGAACATCAGCCAAAAACAAGTGTAATACAACTTCCAGTCCAGTAGATGTCGCTGCAAATGTGTTGACGCACGCTGCCTTGTGTCACAAGCATTTCCGGCTGTGGGATACTGTGCCGAGTCATTCAAAAACAAAACATGGAGGAGAAAATATTGCAATGCATCGCAATAATTCAAGTATCGTGATGCATCGTGATAGAATCGCATCGTTGCCTGTGAATCGTGATTCGAATCGAATCGTGACTTCTTTGGCAATACCCACCCCTACTCTGTTAGTACGTCATATGCTTCATTGATCTGATTGGTTTATTTGGCCCGTCCATCACCAACATAGGCCAATCAGCTAACCAGTGTTTTCGTCCCTTCCCAAAATTACTTCAACGGAAGGTTTCCAGATGGATATGCGGAGCAAATCCATCTGGCGGAGTCAGGTTACGAGTGTGTTACTGGCCCTCCCAAACAACTCCTATCTTTATCAGTGCTCCACATCTCTGCCTTCATGGCGCCCATCTACATTAAGATTCACTATTCTGAGATTAAAGTCAGAAAAATTTCCACAGGATTGGAGAATCGGCCCGAAAAAGGTCAAAAAATCATACAGTGTATGCCCGGCTTTAGGCACGCGCTTTGTCTCCTGTGAGGGTTTTTCAACAATTGGGCCATAAAATCCACAAACCTCTGGACTGCTTTGCAGCACTGGATATGTTGTAAAATTACTTTCTGTCCCTTCATTTTTAAAATGAAAAGATTTAGTCTGCAATCCAAATATTAATTTCAATATATCAGTAAAATAGTTAATTCACATATGTATGGGGTGGGGTACATGCCATTAAATTATTAATATATGTCAAACTATATTATGAAATTTAAGATTTGTATTTTTTTTTGTTGTGAAATCAGACGTTTAATCTGTGGAAAAATAAGATTAAATGTTATCAATACAAGATACAAAGTTAGAACTTTGCATCAATACAAATAGGAATCACAAATTAATGAGTCCGTAGTTGAGTTTGAATCATGCTGCTGCTTCCTCCGAAGGCCAAATTCGTCTGCGGATTACGTCATAGCGTAGCGCCGATGTTTGTTTGGATTGGAAGACTTCTTGTTATGCGGCCGACAAATTCGTCCTTCTTTTTGCCCTTTTTGAAGGAAGGGTCTGCTGTATCCCCCGTAGCCTTTGGCATCCCATGATTCATTATGTGTCTAAGCAAGCCTGCTGCTCCGTGCTCAGAGGAAAAAGGGAAATGGCACCGAACAGTGGTGAATATTGGAAGAGCAGTTTAGTGTAATTAAATGGTTATTGCGTCAGATATGTGGTGGGTATTGTTTGGCTTATTGAAATGTATAAATGGGTTTGGCTGACATTTAAGGATAGATTCTAATATATCTGCAGTGTGCAGTAGAGACTGACACGGGAGTGGATTTTCACTCCTGTCCCGTCCCACTCCCACAGAAAAAAATTGTGTCCCGTCCCGATCCCGGGCCAGAGTAGAAATCTAAATCCTGTCCCGTCCCACTCCTGGTGAAATTACTCCCACTCCCATCCCGCTCCCATTCAGAATGACTCCCGCTCCTGCTCCACTCCCATTCTTGTTGTCTTCAATAAGATTTCTGCCAATACATTGAATCTGAATTTCTTTTGAGCGCGGGTGAAAAACTCAGAGCGGAAGCACTGTTGGTTTTTGGGTCGTGTAGTTTTTTTTAACTCGCATTATAGTGTAGGCTTCAAGGAAAAAAACGACAAAATGGTGGCGCCAGTACTGGATTTTTTTCTTTCTATTTTGTTTCATGGCATCGATCCTAGTTTTTTTTAGTTACTATTGGTTTGCTCCCGCTCCCGTCTGCTCCTGTTAATGTTTAATCCTGTACCGTGCCAATCACGTGATCGTTACTAATACTGACTCCCATCCCACGGGAATCCCGTGACCCGTGGGATTCCCGAAAAAATTTCAGTCTCTAGTGTGAAGACTATAAATCTGATACGATGCAGCTATTTAAGCCCCTCGAAAATGTTAATACCCAGAAAAGCAGTGAAAAGTCCGGTAGTTATTCTTTTCCTGCTTTGTGAGTCAACTCTGACGGTTGCTAGGTGACAGAGAGTACGGCAGTAAAAGTCGCGGAGGGCTGGACCTGTTTGAATCCACAGCCATAACCCTTTTGGCTTCGTTATTCTCACTGACCTTCAAGGATCTAGTCCAGATTGATCGGGTCCTTGGAGGATGCAGCTTTTGAAATTAGACACCCCATATCTGCAACCTTATGAAGCTGTTAAACTTCCTACCAGGTGGAGGCAGTAAAGCGCCTGAAGGTTCTTTACCAACCCATCATGGTCTTCAAGTAAAATCAGGTGCCATTAGGTGGGCTTTCTGGGATTAAATCTTTTCCATGTGTGTGTTTTCAACCTCACTCGACTATTGCCAATTGTTTGTTTTTTAGACATTTAGAGTAACTTTCTTCCCAAAATCTCCAGACAGCTGGAGTTTGCCTTTTAAAACATGCAAACTAACAGTCAGATCAGCCTTATTTGATTCTGAGTTTCTCCAGGCTATTTTCCATTTTGAATGTAGAATATTCTTTAGAAAAACTTTTTTGCATGCTGTTTGTTTGGATGAGGTTGTTTTCCTTATTTGGGGAATACCACATAACTCTTTGATGCAGGTCTAGTTGAATAAGTTTCAATATTTGGGAGGTTTGTGACAAACATTCATTTAAATGTTGTGCTATCCTCCCCCTGCCCAGGTACTCCTTACATGCAGTGCAATGCCATCTGCTCAGCAGCATCACATAGGAGAAAACTATGGAGTTAACGACCAGGAATCTGCACTGAAGAACTCGACTGATTCATTGTGACAAAGAATAAAAATGCTATTGGACAAGAACTAATGGGTTGTCCAAGCTAACGATAGCATGCCCTCGCAGAAAGGTAAAGGTTGTCCAGTATCTCAGCGCTGCCAGGCAGCCTCTAAATCGGATGATGCCACACTTGCTCAGAAGAGGGTATATTGGAGAAACAAGAAAAGAGAGCAGCGGGCTCGTCTGTCTGAAAAGAGAAGTAAGTCAACACAAGATGGCCAAGCGGAACATCAAGCATACGTGTATGTTTCTCCGGGGGTTAATGCCAGGTTGTCCGACCGCTTGGCTTCGTCCTCATTAAGTAAAGATGTCTCATATAGTTATTTATCAAAGAGTGGGAAGACGGGTGAACAAAGTCCGACAAAGCCCCCTGAATATCAGGAGTGGAGTCAGACAATGACAGTCAGCAAGGTCTTGCAGCCAACACACAGCTCCGTCTCAGCTAGGGCAGCCGATGGGGTCACAGTAAAATATCCAGGCTTGGCCAAAAGCTGTGGAAGCCAACTGAACACCAGTTTATCAGTGCCTCAAGTCAGAGTAACCCGTATAACCAGCAACTGCTCCACAAAAACAGAACCCAAGCCATGTGGATCTATGCAGAGTTCATCTGAGGCAGAAGTTAAATTGAATGTGCCCAAGGTCTCACTTATTGGTGTAACCGCAGATACAATGCATGGGTCTTCAAATTGTCCAGTTTTTGGTGAGACAGCGGTTCAAAGAGCACACGCAACACCTCAAAGCGGAACAAAGAGTGCCTTGGTCACTAATAAAAGGGCTTCAGGTTTTGGCATGACACCAGTCGCCATGGAGTCTGAGGAGGAAAGAGCCGCCAAACGAAGAGAGCAATGGAGAATCAAAAAACGAGAACAGAGAGCAAAGCTAGCTAAAGCCAGAGAAAGGCCACAAAGCAGAGATAGGACTTTTCAAGGGCTCACGGCACAAAAGACAAGAGTTGTGGCCAACTCTGCTCTACTTACGTCTCAGTCGTACTTTGGAAGCACAGGGCCGAAGCATTCTGCTGTTCAGGTCAAAGTGCCATATACAGCTCCCAGATTGGAGGCTGACAAACTGCGCAGTAGGTTACATGTAACTAACCTACAAACTAATCTAAAAAAAGAACAGAGTCCACAACAGCATACAATGGAAAACACAGCCATTGCAACATTTGATGTGACCCAAGTGAAGACGTCTCCAGAATCACAGAGAAAACCAATTCACTTCCATCATCGTTCTAACATTAGCCAAGGGATTGCCTCATGTAAAATGCCTAGACAAAGGTCAGCTGAAACACACAAGAGCTTCCTGAATCAGAGAAACTTAAAAAGTAAACCTCCTTCAACAGCTGCAATGTTTAGGACCAGAGCAATGCCCAAAATGGACCCGAATGACACACCAGAGCAAATCCTAGCCAAGCGGAGAGAGTATTGGCGGAACAAGAAGCGTGAACAGCGAGCCAAGCTCTCACTGGAGAAAAAGATTCGCCTGAAGGAGAAGGACTCTTTAATGCGGCGAGTAAAGCGTTACCAGCAAATCCTTGAAGAGATGAGAAAGGCAAGAGCCCTGGTCCAGTCAACGGAGAGGGTCCCTTTGCTAGCAAACGAGGCAATCGGGGGGTTTATTGAGGAGGATGGGACTCTGACGGTAAACATACCTCAGAGTCAAGAAGAAAAGCTCCATGCCCTTTCCAAGACTTCCAACTGGGGAGGCGTTTCACCCAGCAGGGTTAATCCACTCTCACTTCCAGCTCTCTCATCTCAGGGCAAACTTGGTTTTTCTCCTGCTGTTCAGACATTCAATAAAACCTCTAAACGTCTTAATGTCAAAACATGGTCGGACATTGCCATAACAGCAAGTTCTGGTTCAAAGTCAAGAAAAAGTTCCCAGCAGCTCACACTGACTCATTTCCAATCTCCTCACAATGAACCCTCATCCGCTGGTTCAAAGTTTGGTGGCTGTGTAATGAAGATGAATATCTCCAACCATAAACAGTCACTTTCAGCACTGTCTGGAGGCACAAAGCTGACAGAAGAGGAAAGGACGGCAAAAAAGAGAGAGTACTGGAGGACAAAGAAACGTGAGCAGCGAGCGGCTCGGGCTTTCCGACTGAAGCAAAGTGTCTTCCAAGCAAGGAGCACTGTAGCCTTACTTAGGAGAAAGGCTCAGACCCCAGAATCCCCTAAAACTGAGCGGCTTAGCACCAATCTTGCCACCTGTGAAGAAAAAGAACATTTTCCCAACAACACTGTGCCTGACATACTTTATGCAAATGAGATAAAACAAGAGGACGAGTCTGCTCCTGCAAGCGACCTGAATTCTCTTCCAGTTCAAGCCATCTGTCCAGACATCAAACTCCCAACCACGTCACCTGCGCCTCCAGTGCCACAGCTGGAGTCGGAGCCTCAGCCATCTCTAAACGCAGATAGCCAAGCGACCACTCTGCTGGTGGTAGCCTCGATGAAAAAACTACTGGAGGAATCCCTTAGCACAGTTTCTGAGAGTCAAACCCAAGAGGCTGGAGGGGCCTTTGAAGCAGCCAGAGATACTTCAGAGCAAGATAAAAAGCCAGTTTTATCAACAGTTTATTGTGAAAATAATGAAAAGGCTCTAGTAGCTGCTTCTGTGCCATCCAAAATGGAATCCCTACAATGTGATAGCGATATCCTGAAAGGGAAAGACTTGCCAACCCCCCCACTTAAGGATTTGTCACAAATTAGGGAGGCAGTTCAATCTCTTTCAACCTCAGGTGAGCCTCCGCATTGTTTATGCGATCAGTCATCTCAGACCCCTTCAACGCCATCCGTCAGCACGGCTTCATCACGTAGAACCCAGAGATCTCACAGCAAAAATTGGGCCGATCAAAACCACTCCTTTGATGAGCCACCAAAGCTTCACCACATCACAACTGAAGCCGTGGATCCACCGCAACTCGATCAGCAGAGTCTGTGCCACCACAGCCATGTGCCATTAGCAGAGAGGTACCGCACTACGATGAGGCACACCAGCTCAAGCAGCCTTCAGAAGAAGCGGGAATACTGGAAACTGATGAAAAGGCAGCAGAGAGCGAAGTTGAAGGCCAGGCAGAAGGAGCTTCTTTCCAGGAATACCAAGGTGAGCCAATATAGCCAATCTCTTCAGACAGGCTGCTAGTCTTTGTGTTAAAGGGGTCATAGGGGACATTATAAAGGGGACATTATACATTTGGATTGGAGCTGGGTAGTTAATTGATTTTATGTAGGATTTAAATTTTTGAAATGAGGCTCTCCTTGGCGTCCGTAGCTCAGAGACATCAGGGCGCTTAAGGGGTGATAGAATGATTCTATAGGGTATCTGGTGCTGGTTAAAAGCCCTAGAATGAAACGACAGGTTTCCTTCCTTTTATGGTACGATCATGAATATTTAGATGAGCTTGTTAAATGAAGAAGTTATGTCCCCTAAAAAAGCCGTTGCGCCTCAAGGGCTTCCTCACGGTTCTTTTCCTGGGAGCATGTTATTTACTACTCTTAACTCAAACTGGATAAAATCATATAAAAAAGGACTATAAAAAAAGGAGTGAAAAAGTAACAGAGTTTACTCCAGATCAGGTCGTTACAGGACAGAGAAAATGCTTGTAGCCTGCATTGCTGTGGGCTCAAAAATCACATCCGCGAGAGTCCGGCAAAGATTGAGCCCCGAACAAGGTCATCTTCTCCTTCTTATAGCTCATGAGTCTATGTGTTGCACAAGGTGGATGCTTAGTTGTCAGTATCAGAAACTGACACGCCATCCATGCCCAAGGATTACAGATAGCTCTCCTCTATCAGTCCGGCTCCAAGCTGTTCCCATATCCTGTGTATTTTTAAAGACGTGAAGGCTGTCCTGATTAGATGACCTCCGTACACACAGAGACAACCACAATGTGAAGGAAGGCCTTCTACTCTCTCTAATCCGGCTAGCAAAGTAACAATGCACATAATGTATAAAGCATAAACCTAACAAGCTGTGCGCTGATTGGTTAGTTTACAACAAGTGAAGCGGCTGAGCAAAAACGCATCATAGCAACAACATAATTTAAAGGAACCCCCCAGCGGAAAAAGTCAAAAGAATTAAAAAAGTAAGAAAAACAAAGTATTGCCTACCTGGAAGTTATTCTGTTCACGCATGCGTAGGACAAATCGTGCTTCTGGGACGGATCATGTATCGACAGTTAGCATTAGTGGACCATGTTTAGCTTAACTTACCCTTTGTTAGCTTATAGCACTAAACCCAACTCAACTAAAACCAAGTTAAATTCAGTTCAGTGGTAAAAAAAAAAAAAATTACCTCAAAGGGAAATTAAATTTATAAAACATAAGCAAGTTTTTAATAAAGCTAGCTTGCTAGGATCAGAACATTATCCAATGCGCACTTTCATCTGGTTTGGTCTGCCGCGGTTTCCGTAGACTCGTGAACGCGCTTTTAGGAAATCCTATACACTACTGTTTATGCTCTAAAAACATTCTAAATGACTTCGTTTCGAGTAAATTCTGGACGCTACCCACTCAGGACACTTGGAATACATTGGACGAGCAGTATGGAGGAATATTGACACGTTTTTTGTGGACTTTTATGGACCTTTCTGCCTCGGGCGCCATAGACCTCCATTATTTGAATGTCAGCAGACAGCAAGAAGCCTCCCAGATCTCCAGATGCATTTGAGATATCAAAAAAGTACTCCAGAGTGTTGTTCAGCATGGGGGTGAGTAGAAAATGAAGGCTAATCATGTTTTGGGTGTACTATTCCTTTAAGTAAAGCTAATACTTAATGAAAAGATACACAGTGGGGCTTTAAGGAAGCATTTTATGGGTAATAGAAGAGCTTTATCCTGAATATGAGAACACTTTCTGATGTTGGCTAAAGCCGGGCATACACTGTGCGATTTTTTTCAATCGTTGAACCCAGCCACAGCTCGAACTGTATGAAGAAACTGCAGAGTTTAAATGTTCCCAGCTCATGATGTATGTTCTCACACTGTGCGACCCGACGCTCTGATGCGACCTTACGACGGCCGACTGAAGTTCAAACCTGTTTTATTTTCTCCCGACCTTACGATTCCTGATGGGGAGGTGGTCGTTAGAGGCTGATCGGCCGTCGTTACGCCCTGTAGAGCTACACAATGCACCATCAGGCCGATAGGAAAATTCTAGCATGACTGGAGAATCGGCCCGAAAGGGCGTAAAAATCGTACAGTGTACGTCCGGCTTAAGTCCCAGCCTTGTGGGCAGGAGCATCTACTTTACTCCCAATGAAACCTGAACCATTACTCCAGTCTTCAGGCACTCTCAGTAAACAGGTAGAAAACTACGGGTACGCTGTTTTCTCTGTCTTTCAGATTGAGGGACTTCATATTGACACTAAATGCCTGAATCCATCAAAGCCAGCCGTCCAGCCCAGCCCGTCCGTGGCTACGGGGAGCGGCGTCCCTGAAGTCTTAGTCGTTACAACATCTAGAGCTGAACTGCCACTCGAAGGACTCCAAAGTGAACACACCATCATCATCAGCCAAGAGGGAAATGGGAGCGACGGGCCTCCTCCACATCTGCCTGCCTTTGAAGGGGAAGCCTCTTCCCTTCCTGCTCTGAAGCCCCCAGATAACCCTCTATCAACTATCCACATGAAACCCATCGAATGTCCGAGAAAAAACCAAAACCCCATCCTCAGCCCGATAAAAATCCCTTGTGGCCAACCTCAGAGTCGCATAGATGGGGCGCAATCTTCTGCATCGTCAGCCACCTTGATGCCTCCAAAACCCATCCCTGGGGAGGCCCAGGAGGACTTTCTGAGGAGGAAGCGAGAGTACTGGAGGCTAAAAAAGAAAGAACAAAGAGCAAGGAAGGCCTCTCAGGGCAAGGGACGCACTCCAACCAGAGCCTCCGGCGACAGCAGGAGCGTCCTGCCTGCCCAGGATCTACAAAGCTTCATCAGAGCTACGCAGGTGAGTCCAAAAGATCCACAGGTTACAGAGAAGAAGGTCTGATCCTTTCAAACGATCCAGATTAGATCACATTTAGAAGAAAATCTTTATGTAGAAGATCCCTCTAACGGGGCAAAGACCCCAAACACACAGCTGGGGCTAATGTGTTAGAGAGGGCCTAGTCAAAGTCCAGGTCTTTCAGGTAAACTGAGACTCTGAGCAGTGAAATGTTTATAGAGTGGTTTAAAAGTTACACCCTACTGTTGGTCTGTCACCTTAAAAGCAAGAATATCTTGAAATGTGGCAAAGTTTAACCCTTTATAGGGCAAGTTAAATTTTTTGATCCCTTGCACAAACCATACCAATGGAGTCTCTCCCGCCCCCGTCCCTCAGTGAGATCTAGAAGCACAAGATCTATATTCACCCATGCAGCAAAATTTTGGCATTTGACCAATTCCATGAGCTGTTGAATGATATTTTACCTACTAAATGAAGTTGGAAAAAAAAGTTAACAAGTCAAGAAAAAAGGTAAAAAGCTAATTTTAAAGTCTCCCTCTCTGCTCTGTGGTTGCTGTAGGATCCAGACCAGTGGGCGAACTCCTCTGAACATCCGATGAGGTGAGGATTTCTGGAGCTTCTAGAAACTCCGCTTCTGTTGGTTCTGTCTGACGTAACAATGAAACCTTGTTTCCTCAGCGTCCCGGCGGAACCCGACCCAGAATCCTTAATGTTCCCGACCTACCCAGCTCCGGCGGAAGGTAACCCATCATTTCTGCAACCTTCAGAAACGGCCATTATTTCCTCAGTCCAGTTTAACTTGTTTAGAGCAACAAATGTTACGAGTTTATAGATACGGGACAAGATCTTATTTTTTTCTTTTTTTGTACGGAAACTACCTTTTTCTTTCTTTTAGTTTTAAAAACAATAATAAAAAAATTCAAAAGATTGCAGTTCTCTTAAAGGTGTTGAGGACATTCTATTATTTCCGGGTGGATCATCTGCATCATTGGTCCTCCTAACTGTCAATCAATCTGGTGACATGTTTACGTAAGGCCGTCCTACGCGCTCGTCCCGTTAGCTATCTTTTTCTGCGCACTTTCAGGCTGCTCTTTTAAAATGGCCGAGGGTCGTAAGAGAAAAAGCGTCTAAGAAGTGAATGAGAAGGAAAGAAAGGCCTCAGAGAGGCAGATATATCCCAGAATGCTTTGCATGGAGAGCTCTCCTCTTAAAGCATGATGGGATTTGCCGTCACAGCGGCCATAGGCTGCCGCTACCGGACAGTGACGCTAATAACAAAGATGGCGCAGGCACCGTGCGGTGGAGGAGTTACATTATCAACTGAGCAAAAACTAGTGATCATCTGTCTGAACGTCAGTTAACTGAGTTCACTATGAAGTCCCAGCTCTATGTGGACACAATAAGCCTGCTCGCTCTGCACGAGGGCTTGTGCAGGCTCTTGCACAATAATTCTTTTTTTAAGTGGAGAGGGCGGGTCTTTTTAAAAAATCCTCCAGAATACCTTTAAGTGATGCTTAATATTGGTGTAATAAAAAAGAAATAGATCAATAAAAATATGGCTGCATGGATTGATCGACCGATCAAGCCAATTTTCCCTGATTTCCTTAATCTGTGGAGATGTATTCCTGGCCAATATGTGGATCTAAAACACATCTTTCCATTTTCTTTTTACCTTTGCAGAAGTAATAAAATCAGCCACAGTCAAACCTTTAATTTTAATTATTATTTGAGAGCATTACTGGTACAGCTAAGTTCTTTTCAATAATATAAGGTAGAAGCATTTAAATGTGTATTTGTGGTATTATTAGGTATTATTAATAATTGAATTAATAACGATTAATGAAATTATTAATTGTAATAGATTAATCATTAAGTGGAGTATAGAGACTCTAAAACCTGCCTTTAGCTGACAGAGTGACACATTTAGAGCAGGAATTATATGATAGGTATAAAAAAACAATATATAAACATTTGCATTTAAGATAAAAAAACTTTTTCTTCTCTCAATCTGCTCTATCCAGAACTCCTCAAGTGGAAAATCTTTAGTTTCACCTGGTTTAATTTAATAAAAAATCTTCTTTATGGAACCTTTGGCTATCTGATTATTAATCGATTAATCAAAAAAATAACCGACAGATTTTTCGCAGCTCTAAATCTTATAATAATATTTAAAAAAAAAACGGTATTAGTCAGAATCGTAATCGTTGTGTCAGATATCGGTTCACCGCTGCTACTTTAGAGTAATTTACTTGCAAATTCAGGTCCATTCAAATCAAATATTTGGAAAAGATCCATAAAACTTTTGTTATTTCTTATTATATCTATATTTGAAAATATTACGTGGTTCTGTCATTTTTAGCTGAAGTTATTAGGCTCCACTGTGGATCCGCAGGTTGCTGACCTCTGATCTAAAACAACAATCTGAGAACGAGGCTCTGAACTTGAACTGTTTTCCAGGTCAGGATGACGTCTGGTTTGCCGACTATGACGAGGAGGAGGAAACCCTGACGGAGGCGGCGTGGAGGAGCCGCTACCTCATGGACTACGATCCGCTCAACCAGCTGCTGGTGTGCATGGTCTGTGGGGAGCTGCAGTACTCCCACGGCCCGGAGGCGGTGAGGGCCCACATCGACGAGGCGCACCCTCTCACCCTGAGGCTGGAACCCAGAGAGAAGCAGAAAATCCTGGAGGCCTGGGATGAGCAGGTTTCCCAGCGGGAACGCTTCTTCAGCAGCCAGCTGCAGCAGCACTGTGGGCCGACAGAAGGTAAGCTGGAGCCGTCGGCGCCTTCCTCCTGGTTAGATTCAAAAGCTGAAGAGACCAGAGGTCCGATTCACAAAGCAGGTTAAACAAACTCTGACTCAAAGACACAACTCTGAACTAATCTAGCCGAAGGTTGGAAACCCTTTCCCAATGTCTGAAAAATCCCAGCGGGCTTTTAGTGGCAATAGGAACAGCTCACTGACGCGTGTCTACCGGGGTCAAAAGACTCGGCAAGCAACCCGCGTTAAAATCGCCTCGGGTCTGATCGGCATGCTGTGGGAACACCAGAACCGGATTGATCTGCTAAATTACGTGGCATTGAACGCAACGTACGGACGTCAACATGCCGCGCCAGTCGCTTCTGATCTAACGAGAAGAAACAACGCTGCTTATATTCAATAAACATGGAGCAGCTCCAATGAGAGGGTTTTGGACAGATAAAAGTATGCTTACTACGCCCTGGCTTCATTCCGAGTTGTTCTCCATTGTTTACTTCCCTGATTTCTGTCACTAGTGACATCACCAGCTGCCAGCTGATTGTTAGCGGGTCGATTGTTTGAAAAACCTGCGTTAACCTGCTATTTTCGGTGGGAAAGAGGCTTTAGTTTAATGACCTGTGATTAGGTTCAGTCAGAGTTGGAACACATGTGGATCAAGTATGAAAATTCATTATCAGTGGACCCCGATTTACCGAGGCTGCGGTGGATACACACCGGCCCCAACGCGACGCTGGAGGAATGAGTGAGAGATAACGGATGATGGATGGATAGTTCTTTATGTATTGTGAAAATTATGTATCCGCACGTGGCTCATATTAAACAAACCAAAAATCTCATATGCAGCCAAATGAGTTGGTTTTAATCACCACGATAAATATGTGACTGACAAGTGGAATTCATTGAGGTTAAGCTTTAAAACAAACAACGGAGTATTATGGCCCGGCCAGAGATTTTTATTTATTTATTTTTTTTTATAAGTCATGACATTAGTGACATCCTGCCCAGTTTGATGCTGCTGCTAAAAGATTTCCTGATTAGTCAAACCGATTTTAAAGTATAACTGCACATGATGCTCCACATTCCTCATTTTAGGGAAGAAAGGGATTCTGGGAAGAGTTGTCATAAAATACAACTTTATTCTTGTAATTTCAGGACTTTATTCTCATTATATTATGACTTTATTTTTTCGTAATAATACGACTTTTTTCTCGTAATTTTATGGCTTTATTGTCGTAATGTTATGACCTTATTCTCGTTATTTTATGACTTTATTATTGTGATATTACGACTTTATTCTTATATTACGACTTTATTCTCGAATAAATAAAAAAAAAGAGAAATCTGAAAAATTGTTTTTAAAAAATCTGAAAAATATTCTAACAAAAGGGGGAAAAAAGTAAAAATTGAACTTTTGCATATTCTAAATCACTCCTAAAGTGTTTTGATATTTAGAATTTTTTTCAAAATTAAATGGCTGAAACACATTTTGCTGGAGGGTTTTCTGAGCTTTTTGGGAGCTTTGATGGACCTGAGGGGAGAGAGTTCAGTGGATGAAGCTGCTGGTCTTCACAGACCCACACTGCAAAAACTGATCTAAAAACTTCAAATAATGCAATAATTTTATCTCATTTTTAAACAGAAATGATCTTATTTTATCTGTAACTACAGGCCAGTTTCGTTGCTTCCACAGTTTTCCAAAGTTATAGAAAAAGTTTTGTTACAAAGTTTGGACAAATATACAGGATGACTAGAAAAAGCCTAATAGAATCTGTTATTGAGCCGTTCTCTTATTTCTCAACAGCAATCTTCCCAGATAGAATGAAAAGTGCTAAGGTCGTCCCATTATATAAAAATGGAGATAAACATAGCTTCTCAAACTACAGGCCAGTTTCATTGCTGCCACAGTTTTCCAAAGTGATAGAAAACGTTTTTGGACAAATATACTAAAAAAATATATCTTAAATAATCCTCATTGTGGAAAAAACATTCCACATCTATCGCAATTATGGAATTAACTGATAAATATCAGCAGCAATAGAAAATAAGGATTTCTTTGATGTTTTTGACATTTGAAGACTTCTTTATAAACTGCAGTGATATGGAATCAGAGGTACGGCAGAACTGTTGGTACAAAAGTTAATTAAAAGTTTCAATTGTGTTATATTAAATATGGAGTTCCACAAGGGCCGATACTCGGACCCAAGTTGTTCATGTTGTACATCAAGCAGGAAAGTTAGAAAATACACATGTTCAAGATTATAGATTTTGGGAAAGATCATTTAGATAAACATCTGTTTTTGACTGTACATGTATAACATGGAAGTTATTTTAATTTTTTTTTAATATATTTTGTTCTTTTTATATTTTTTTAGGAACCAACAGAATCTGATCCAGGAAGGAGAGATTGCTGCAGCGTCAACTGGAAACCAACTCCTAAAAAAAAAAAAACAACATTGATTTTTATTTATTCTTTTTTTGGTTTTGTAGTAATTTTTTCTTTTTATACAAAGCATAAAGAGATTTCTTCCTGGATCAGCAATCCCATCCTTCCCTAACAGGTTGACGTACCGGCATGTTGGTCAGTTTAAACCCTCGGATCCCTCGGCTGTAGAGATTTTCCACGAGGAGGAAACTCCTTCCAGGTTTCCTGGTTGGATCTTGCTTCCGTTAAATTATTTTTTTTCCAAGTCTGTGTTGCCTCGTGCTCCTTTCTAAAGCCCATAAACTGTATCCTGTTTTAATATTGCAGGCAGCTTTTTTTTCTTTTCTGTATATAAACAAAGGGAGCAGCAGTGAAAGGCCAAATCCTTGTTTTTTTTTTCATGCTAATATATTTTTAAACCTAATTTATAACTCATTAAATCCTCTTTGTTGTAATTATTACCGTAATTAATGCGGGGTTAGAGGAGTCCCATCTACGTTTGTATTAAACCTTTGTGCATGAGTAGTAAAAGGTCGGATCGCAGCTGAGCGTTTGAATCCATTCCCGCTTTTATTATTGTTTCCTGTTTAACCCGGTGAAGCCCGACATGCTGTAGACGTTTCTGTCGAAGCTGAAAGGGAAGGAAACTGAAAGCACAGCCGCAGCGGAGAGAAGAACCGCCGCGGAACTCGTTCTGTTCACGTTTGAATGTAAATCATTACATGTTTACCTGTTTGAAAAAATTCTTTAAAGGCCTTTTTCCAGTAATAAACTATTTCTACTTTTTACTTATCTGTGCTTTTTTTAAACTTTATCCAACAAATATTATTTATATGACTTGTTTTTCCCTATTTATTGAGCGTCTATGCAGCTTTTGATTTATAACAAAAAAAATATTGTAAATAAGTGTAAACAAAAGAACAACTGACTGAATATTTATGCTACGTTCAGACCGCACATAGAAGCAGCAGAAGCAGCTAGTTTACATGTGCTGGTCATAAAATTAGAATATCATGAAAAAGTAGATTGATTTCAGTAATTCCATTTAAAAAGTGAAACTTGTATATTATATTCATACATTACATACAAACTCATATATTTCAGATGTTTATTTTGTTTAATTTTGATGATTACAAATGACAACAAATGAAAATCTCAAATTCATCATATCAGAAAATTAGAATATTGTGAAAAGGTTCAAAATTGATGGCCCCTGGTGCCACACTCTAATCAGTTAATTAACTCAAACCACCTGCAAAAGCCTTTAAATGGTCTTTCAGTCTAGTTCTATAGGCTACACAATCATGGGGAAGACTGCTGACTTGACAGTTGTCCAAAAGACGACCATCGACACCTTGCACAAGGAGGGCAAGACACAAAAGGTCATCGCTAAAGAGGCTGGCTGTTCACAGAGCTCAGTGTCCAAGCACATTAATAGAGAGGCGAAGGGAAGGAAAAGATGTGGTCGAAAAAAGTGTACAAGCAAGAGAGATAACCGCACCCTGGAGAGGATTGTGAAACAAAACCCCTTCAAAAATGTGGGGGAGATTCACAAAGAGTGGACTGCAGCTGGAGTGAGTGCTTCAAGAACCACCACACACAGACGTATGAAAGACATGGGTTTCTGCTGTCGCATTCCTTGTGTCAAGCCACTCTTGAACCACAGACAGCGTCAGAAGCGTCTTGCCTGGGCTAAAGAGAAACAGGACTGGACTGCTGGTGAGTGGTCCAAAGTCATGTTCTCTGATGAAAGTAAATTTTGCATTTCCTTTGGAAATCAAGGTCCCAGAGTCTGGAGGAAAAGAAGAGAGGCACTTCATCCACGTTGCTTGAAGTCCAGTGTAAAGTTTCCACAGTCAGTGATGGTTTGGGGTGCCATGTCATCTGCTGGTGTTGGTCCATTGTGTTTTCTGAGGTCCAGGGTCAACGCAGCCACATACCAGGAAGTTTTAGAGCACTTCATGCTTCCTGCAGCTGACCAACTTTTTGGAGATGCAGATTTCATTTTCCAACAGGACTTGGCACCTGCACACAGTGCCAAAGCTACCAGTACCTGGTTGAAGGACCATGGTATCCCTGTTCTTAATTGGCCAGCAAACTCTCCTGACCTTAACCCCATAGAAAATCTATGGGGTATTGTGAAGAAGAAGATGCAATACACCAGACCCAACAATTCAGAAGAGCTAAAAGCCACTATTAGAGCAACCTGGGCTATCATAACACCTGAGCAGTGCCACAGACTGATCGACTCCATGCCACGCCGCATTGCTGCAGTAATACAGGCCAAAGGAGGCCCAACTAAATACTGAGTGCTGTACATGCTCATACTTTTCATGTTCATACTTTTCAGTTGGCCAACATTTCTATAAATCCTTTGTTTTTATTGGTCTTCAGTAATATTCTAATTTTCTGATATGATGAATTTGAGATTTTCATTTGTTGTCATTTGTAATCATCAAAATTAAACAAAATAAACATCTGAAATATATGAGTTTGTATGTAATGTATGAATATAATATACAAGTTTCACTTTTTAAATGGAATTACTGAAATCAATCTACTTTTTCATGATATTCTAATTTTATGACCAGCACCTGTACATGTAAAGTCTGTGGTTGACGCGCATCAAGGCGCCTCAAAAGGCCCTGCAGCGCGTCTAGAGCAGCAGGAGCAGCGCCTCATGCGGCGCGTGACGCGCATCAAGGCGCCTCAAAAGGCCCTGCAGCGCGTCTAGAGCAGCAGGAGCAGCGCCTCATGCGGCGCGTGACGCGCTTCACGAGCAGCAGCTGCCGGAGTCAGGAAAAATATAACTTTAGCTGCTGGAAGCGCCACATCAACCAATGAGAGAAGCTGATCTAGGAGCTGGCAGGGAGTCAGACACAGCACTGCTGATGCAGAGCGCTATGATCGCTCCTCTGAAACAGTTTATTAACGCCTAAATTCACTTAAAATGTAGAAACCTGCCGGCAGAATATGTTGGCTTTTATTATCCTGCTGCCTGCAGTTTGTAGCACAGACCTGAAAAACGCTAACATCTACTTCCAGCCGCCACCAACAGGAGGGGAAAACCCCCAAGAGGCGAGCGGGCCTGAGGCAGCTGCTGCTGGGGATTTCCAGTGACAGCGCAGCGCCGGTATGTGGGGGTCTGAGCGGCTCCCACAGAGAAATAATCTTTGAAGGCAGGATGGTAATCTGGATGAACTGACTGCACAGACCATGTTTTCAGGAGGACTTTCTCACTTCAACATAGATTCTAACTACTTTCTACCCGCTGATCACAGCTAATATAGCAAAGCTGCTCTCTGGCATTGAACACAGGAGCAGCAGAAGCATCTGGACTCACTTTACTGGACGCGCTTCATGAGCGTCAAAGCTGCTCTTGATGCGTTTCTGACCTTAATGTGGACAACCAGCAAAAATTAAGCAGCAGCAGCTTTTCTGCTGCTTCTAGCGCTTGCTACGTAGCATTAGACATGACTAGAAAAAGCCTAATAGAATCTGTTATTGAGCTGTTCTCTTATTTGTCAACAGCAATCTTCCCAGATAGAATGAAAAGTGCTAAGGTAATCCCATTATATAAAAATGGAGATAAACATAGCTTCTCAAACTACAGGCCAGTTTCATTGCTGCCACAGTTTTCCAAAGTTATAGAAAAATTCTTTGTTACAAGTTTGGACAAATATACTAAAAAAATATATCTTAAATAATCCTCATTGTTGGAAAAACATTCCACATCTACCTCCATGGAGGTAGACATGATCAGTCGATCACGATCTCCCAAAATGAATTAAATTGATGCGGATAGATCGGCCGTTTGATCAATCGTTGCTCCTGTTTTCTCTCGTCGTTACGTTGGCCTCAAATAAAGCGACGGTTCATTGAAAAATTTCAAAGTTTTAAGCCTCAGTATTTAAACTCATATTAGCAGCTCTTGGATGGTTTAATGCTGACCGCTGTAGGGATCTGTATAATACCTGGACTGATCTTAAACCCTCAGACCCGGAGCAAAGAAGAGAATTTTCCCGATAGAGTTAAAAAAAAACAAAAAAAAAAAACAACATAAATTTCTTCCATTTCTCACAGGAAACCTTCACTGCTCCCCCACAGACTCTCAGTCACAACCAATCGTTCGCTTTCAAAGGTTTTATTTGCAGATCAGCGACTGAGCGTTAAAATCTGTTCACAGACCGCAAGACTTTAGTCGATCAATTTTAGGCTGTTTCTGTGAAAACAGGAGAACTTTGCTCTGAGCTGCTGAGGAACGTTTATTTTCTACGTTGCTACAAAGTCCAGTTTTTATGGAGAGAAATTTGTGCCAACATTGTTGAAAGCAAAGAAAATGGAGAAAATTCTCAATCAAATGGTGGATTAGAACCTTTATGGAGAGTTAAACTAATATGTTTACAGTTTATTACGGTACTTTTTTTACATTTGATTTTTTTAATTGCATTTCCAATAGATTTTTGTTTAAATTTTTCTCAAATTTTTTTCAGACTCTTTCAAATTGTTTTTATTTTATTTCCAAATGTATATATATCTATATATATATATAGATATAGATATATATAGATATTTTTTCCTTATCAAAGTTTGTGTCCGAATTATTTAATTTTTTGTTTTAGATTTTATCTATTTATTTATTTTATTAGTTACTCTTTTATTTTTCTACTGTTTTAAATCCTGTTTTGCAGATTTCCCGCTCTCACATCTGGGTGAGTGTATGGAGAAAAAAACTGTAAAACAGGATTTGAACAGAATGCGATTTGGAAAACTCATCCACAAAAAAAAAAATTAAACCAGAAAAAAAATCACTCAGTTAATATAAACTGTAAAAATATTGGCAGAAGTTTATCATACATATTATACATTATTTTAAAATGTTTCTTATTTAACTATTTCTATGTTTCCAGTATTGGCACTAATTTCTCTCCATAGCTTCTGAGGTCAGAGGAGAGAAACGCCGAGCAGTAGAACCCGGTTCTCCTCTGGTCGCGTAACTTTGCAGGTTTTTATGTTAAATTAACTTTTTTCCAGAAGTCCGACTTAAATCCTTCTCAGTTTAAATCCAGAGTTTATTTCCTGCTCCGTCCTCCAGAGGTCACTGTTTCATCCGCTGCCCGCTCCCGGACTCCTCCTCCACTAAAGCTTCGGGGTCCTCCCTCTCCGGATGGGGTCTACGGACCGACTCTGCGTCCGCCGCCACCTGCAGCTCCCCGCTTCCTGCGTCCAGGCGGAACAGAGTGGGAACTTTCCCCAGGATGGGGTTGTTCTGCTGGAGGCCAGAGATCCACTGGTTCAGAGTGGCCTGGTCTCCCCGACCCGTCATGCACATGGCGAAGATCGGACCTTCGTCCACTGAAAAGAAAAAAAATTAAAATACGTCACTCAGCCCTCGGACCAGGATCTGGTTAAACCTGGGCTAACTTACGGTCGTCCACGTCAAAGTTCTCCTCGTCTCCGAGGTCGCGGTCCAAATCCAGATCCAGCTGTAGGGGGTAGTCCAGACACCGCTCCGGATCGTAGACTTCCTCCACCTGCAGGAGGAGAGCAACAGTGAGGGCTGGAGGGATTTCTGCACATTAATTATGTTTTTGATAAAAATCCTTTCATCAGAACGCTGATAATATTAAGTGTGTCTCAGCCCCCCCCTTCAGTGTCCACCATATTGGATCAGTCCATTTGCTGCACATGTTCAGAAAGGTCCAAACAGACAGCAGCAAACCATTTGAAAACAAACCATGCAAAGAGCAGTGTTGCCAACTTAGCGCTTTAGTCGCTATATTTAGCCACTTTTCAGACCCCTCTAGCACTTTGATTTCTAAAAAGCTCCTAGCGCCAAATCTAGAGACTTTTTTCTGCTACTGGAGACTTTGGAGACAACGTCTAAAAGCAGCGAACTCTGCTCTCCAGAGCCAGTAGATTGGTAACCCCCAGAGATGGCAAAAGTACTGACTTTCCGTACTTGAGTAAAAGTACAGATACTTGTGTTAAAAAATACTCTGGTAAAAGTGGAAGTACTGATTAAACTTCTTTACTCAAGTAAAAGTAACAAAGTACAGGCTTGTAAATTTACTTAAAGTCTAAAAATAAAAGTAGAAACCACTTTTTTCATGCCGTTGCCTACATTTTAAATGGATGTCTGCCAATAGGACTAGATCTCAGTGGTGTTCATTTTCAATCATCTCGTCGTCCATGCTACTATGCTAACGCCACCGCCACCAAGCTGCAATGATTTGCCGCCAATGAATACCGCCGAATCTGTCGATTCTTCTTGTAGTGGTGCGTCAAATGCAACGTAGATTCCCATCCAATTAGATTGAATTTGGTATTGATGACGAGAAAAAATAATAACGGTAACTCCATTGAAAAGATTCAAAACTAAAGTAACGAGACAAATTTTTAAAATGTAAGGAGTAGAAGTAAAAAGTCGCCGTAAAAATAAGTAGTAAAGTAAAGTAAAAATATCAGAAAAATCTACTTGAGTACAGTAACGAAGTATTTGTACTTCGTTACTTCCCATCTCTGGTAACCCCGCCTCCTGCTCTCCTCTATCTTGTCTGCTGTCATGATTCATGCAGCTATTATTTCATCCAAATGAAAAATGGAGAACAGATAAGCAGATCATGGCTTGTCTACAGTGAAAAGAAGGACTGGGTTATTTACTTTGGCCTTTTTGGAAACACAGGAAGGAGCAATCAGCTAAGTGAGCTTAGTGCTTGGAAAAAATCTTTCATTCCTTTAGAGACAGCATGAAAAGTCAGCTGAGTACAAAACATAGAGAGGAAAACAAGAAGAAAAGGGACAAGAAGAGAGGGACACAACCTAGAACAGATCATGGATGTCTATTCTATTAACATTTCTCTATCTGGAGAATGGGGCTGTTTGATGTTCTGTCTTCTCCATTCAGAGGGCCCCCTGCCTGCCTTTGTCTAGGGCCCCATTTTTCCTAAATCCGCCCCTGTTATCAGGTTAATCGGATTAATCCATCACTGAAATAATCGAATCATTTTCTTGGATTTTTCCGTCTCAATCAGAGAAAAAACCCTCTGAAAACAATGACTTAGATATAGAATTAAGTCATAAGATTAATTTCTAAACACATTTAATTTTTAAATAATATTTAATTCAAGGTTTTAATGTGATTTTAAACGATTCAAGAGAACATTTCAATATTTAATTTAGGGCTGCAATTAATTACTGCTTTCAATAAATCGATTAATAATCAGATATTTTTTTTATCTTAAATGCAAAATGATTCCATATTTTTTACAATCTTGGTATAATTTCTGCTCTCTCAGCAACGTCTTTTACTCCAGTTAATGATTAATCGATTACTAAATGAGTTGATTATTGTTTTAATAATCGATTAATCCATTTCATTTTTTTCAGCCCTAATTTAATTATCCAGAAACTTCTAACATTTGCAACATATTTTATTTAGACTGAGGAAAAAACGGCTGTTTGCTTGGAGAGCGAAGGTTGCAGAACGGGACGATATTTTAGAACATTTCTATAATGTAGATGGACTAAAAAATATTAATTAAAAAATGCATAATTGTCCAACAGAATTGACACAAATCTGCAGCAAATATCAGTGATCAGTTAGCCTGATCTTACAATAATTGTTCTCCGTTTTATTTTCAATTAAAAAGGTTTAAAACATTTGACTGTATATTGTTATCTTATAAAGACTGCTATGAAAAATATCGGTTCAAATCAGAATCGGCACATCAGGCTTTTTAAAGTATTGCTGCTTTATTTTTTTCAAGCTTTTGCACAAATTCTGAGCAAATATTCAGTTAAAAATGAAACTAATTGCTTCAAAGCTGCAGCAGTCGTCATCAGATCAGATTCAAAGACGTTCAGAGGAAACTTTAGTCAGATTGAACACAAACCAACGCTGCATTAAACAATGTTATCCTAAAGGAAACACAGCGGAGAGTTTCCAAACCTTCTCCTCCGGCGGGGCGGGGTCGGCCCTCAGAACGTAGTAGTAGACGCAGGTCTTCCTCAGCCACAGGGGGAGGGGCCCCTCCACAAACACCGGCCTGTTCGGGTTATGCTTGGCTAGCAGCTCCATCTGAGCCGCGCTCTGGATGCCTGAGGAAAAACACAGAACAGGATGAAGAACCATCATGGAGAACAAGGAGAACATGGAGAACATCAAGAACACACATGCAGAACGTTAAGAACATGGAGAAGATGCAGAACATGGAGAAGATGCAGAACATGGAGAAGATGCAGAACATGGAGAAGATGCAGAACATGGAGAAGATGCAGAAGATGCAGAACATGGGGAAGATGCAGAACATGGAGAAGATGCAGAACATGGAGAAGATGCAGAACATGGAGAAGATGCAGAACATGGGGAAGATGCAGAACATGGGGAAGATGCAGAACATGGAGAACATGCAGAAGATGCAGAACATGGAGAAGATGCAGAACATGGGGAAGATGCAGAACATGGGGAAGATGCAGAACATGGAGAAGATGGAGAAGATGCAGAACATGGAGAAGATGCAGAACATGGAGAAGATGCAGAACATGGAGAAGATGCAGAACATGGAGAAGATGCAGAACATGGAGAAGATGCAGAACATGGAGAAGATGCAGAACATGGGGAAGATGCAGAACATGGAGAAGATGGAGAAGATGCAGAACATGGAGAAGATGCAGAACATGGAGAAGATGCAGAACATGGAGAAGATGCAGAACATGGAGAAGATGCAGAACATGGAGAAGATGCAGAACATGGAGAAGATGCAGAACATGGAGAAGATGCAGAACATGGGGAAGATGCAGAACATGGAGAAGATGGAGAAGATGCAGAACATGGAGAAGATGCAGAACATGGAGAAGATGCAGAACATGGAGAAGATGCAGAACATGGAGAAGATGCAGAAGATGCAGAACATGGAGAAGATGCAGAACATGGAGAACATGCAGAAGATGCAGAACATGGAGAAGATGCAGAACATGGAGAACATGCAGAAGATGCAGAACATGCAGAAGATGCAGAACATGGAGAAGATGCAGAACATGGAGAAGATGCAGAACATGGAGAAGATGCAGAACATGGAGAAGATGCAGAACATGGAGAAGATGCAGAACATGGAGAACATGCAGAAGATGCAGAACATGGAGAAGATGCAGAACATGCAGAAGATGCAGAACATGCAGAAGATGCAGAACATGGAGAAGATGCAGAACATGGAGAACATGCAGAAGATGCAGAACATGCAGAAGATGCAGAACATGGAGAACATGCAGAAGATGCAGAACATGGAGAAGATGCAGAACATGGAGAAGATGCAGAACATGGAGAACATGCAGAAGATGCAGAACATGGAGAAGATGCAGAACATGGGGAAGATGCAGAACATGGAGAAGATGGAGAAGATGCAGAACATGGAGAAGATGCAGAACATGGAGAAGATGCAGAACATGGAGAAGATGCAGAACATGGGGAAGATGCAGAACATGGAGAAGATGGAGAAGATGCAGAACATGGAGAAGATGCAGAACATGGAGAAGATGCAGAACATGGGGAAGATGCAGAACATGGAGAACATGCAGAAGATGCAGAACATGGAGAACATGCAGAAGATGCAGAACATGGAGAACATGGAGAAGATGCAGAACATGGAGAACATGCAGAAGATGCAGAACATGGAGAACATGGAGAAGATGCAGAACATGGAGAACATGCAGAAGATGCAGAACATGGAGAAGATGCAGAACATGGAGAACATGCAGAAGATGCAGAACATGGAGAACATGGAGAAGATGCAGAACATGGAGAACATGCAGAAGATGCAGAACATGGAGAACATGGAGAAGATGCAGAACATGGAGAACATGCAGAAGATGCAGAACATGGAGAAGATGCAGAACATGGAGAACATGCAGAAGATGCAGAACATGGAGAACATGGAGACACTGGAGATCCGTACCGACTATATGAGGAAGCTCCACTTCCTCGCCGCTCTCAGTGACGTCTGTGCAGGGCAGCTGTTAGCGAGAACAAACCGTAGGAGCGTTTAGGAATGTGCAGATTAGATGGAAAAAAAAACAAAAAAAACCACCAATGAACGTTTTCTATTTATTTTTCTTGATGTTATAAATCAGGGGTTCTCAGAGTGGGGGTCAGGACCCCCCGGGGGGTCAGAGACACCAAGCTGGGGGTCACTAGATGGTCTTAATCATTGTAATGTAATCCCTGAGGTATATGGAGGGCCAAAATATACCGGAATACATAAATATGAATGTCCCAAAAAAATAAAGGATTTATAAAAATTTTATCCAACACATGATTCAAATGATAAATATATAATTTCATGATAAAATGTCCCAATAAAATGTTAAAAATTAAGGTAAAAGGAAGAATTAAATGGAGTTTTGAGGGGGTGTTTGGGAACCGCTGCTATAGAAGCTAGGCTAACCTGGTAGACGGTAACTTTAGCATCCAGGTCGTTGGCGATGCGCTTCAGGCTCAAGCGGGCCAAGTCCACGGGTTCCTCCGGGAGGGGCTGAGGAACGGGGAACGGGTTGATGTGCTTGAACTTGGGGAACCAGTACATGATGCGCTGGAACTTCCTCATAGGGTGGCTCTTCTCCCCAAAGATCCGGACCAGCAGGACTTTGGTCTCAACGTTCGGCATTATGCCTAAAAAACACAAATGGCGCAGTTTCAATAAGACCTATGGGGTTAAATTAGGGCCAAAACTTTCCTCAGTTTCTTTTATAATTGGAAATAAAAAAAAATATTTAGAAACTGAAAAAAAATATAAATCTGAAAATATTTTTTAAACAGAAAAAAATTATAAAACTAGAAAAAAAATAAATAAAAATACCAACTCAGGTTTAAAGACAATTCTAGTTCATCATTCATCACTGAATGTCATCTAAACCCCGCCCCCCCACTGAGGGGCCAGAAGTTTAAAACTGAAAATAAACCTAAAAAGTCATTTTAAACATTTCTTTTTGGTTTTTATTCTTTTTTTCTGTTCATTATTTAAAATATTTGTATTTTTTTTAATACTTTTCAATGGAAATTTTTTTGTTTTAGTTTCATTGTTTTAATTCCCAATTATATTTATTTTCAATTTGATAAAAAAAAAACAACAACAACATTTAAGGCTGTAATTTGTCTCCATACGCCCAGCTCCAGCAGGAAGTGCTCTCCAGGCGGGATGGAGAAGCGACCCACCGTAGTTCTCCATCTGCTCCAGGATCTGCACCCCACACTCCTGCTGCCGAGGATAGTGGTTGAACATCCGCTGGATGAAGTTTCTGGGGACGAAGACCTCTTTGGGGAAAACGTCCAGCAGTTTGTTGTAAACGCTCAGGTCTCGCTCCACCCCGAACTCGGCCATCTTCTTCAGGGCGGTGTAGATGAACTCCACGTGGCCGCGCCGCCTGACGTCCTTCTTGGTGAAGACCTCGATGACCTCGTTGAACGTGGCCTTGGTTTTGGCCTCTTTGGCCACCTGCTCAAACAAGTCCTCCTGGGTGGCCAGGGACGTCGTCCTCTTCTTCTCGTCCTGGTTGACGAACCGCGCGGGTACGGGGCGACTCTTCGCGGACGCAGGGCTGCATCGGAAATGCCTCGCCGCCTGTGAGAGAAGGCCGACAGGAAGACGTTAAAATCCGTCGCTCTTCATTCAGGAAAAGTTCGTCTACGAGCAACAGGCTGAGTCCCGGGAAGAAAACGGACTTTGGTCACATGATGACCGGCTACTTCTGGGGATTTACATCTTAGCTTTTATAAATATATATATTTTTATATTAAGATGATTTTGGCCCCCATTGAAATGAATGGAGAATTACCAGCCTTTTTTTCACCTTCAACCACTTCAATGAATTTAAAGTCGTAGCGAAGCGGCTGTTCCAACCGTTTCTGAATTCTCCCCAGATGGTGCACGACTTTACACCAGTGAATAAAGTGAATGTGATTGGTCGATTATCAAGGGGGCGGGATTGTTGTGGTGGAAGGTTCGCAAGCAAGTTTGGTTGTGGCCAGTTTGTTGGAAGCATCTTGCTAACCAGTTAGCAACTTAGTGCTAGCAGGTTCCCAATGGGAAATTCCACTGGGACCAAGTAGCACTAAATTGGTGACTTAGAAACGACGCTGTCAAGGAACGCTATGGACAGCGGAAACATGCAAGAGGAGGAGAGTTTAGTGTCGGAGGTCGTGGATGAGTCTCCTCCGTCATCCATTTTTTATTTAGAGGAGGAAAGCGGGGACGAAGATGTTGTGGAAGAGGACGCCAGGGCGGCAGAAGCTTGGTTTGGTGTAGAAGGCTTCCAGCCGTACATGTTTGAGCCCTTGCCTCGCAACGCTGCCAGTTCTGTTAGCTCTACGCCTGCCGAAGACACAGACGTCCATCCCCGTGAACACTGGGACGCAACTCAATGGGAAAGGAAAGGATTCTGGTTTCAACCGTTGCGTATATTAGCTGCGACACATGAATCAAGATGCTATGACCGAAAACATTTGATTGACAGATGACCGTTGATATATGATTGGCTGAATTTAGGTGTTCAGGCTGACGTAGAACTAACTGGCCTGCAGAAGATAACGGAAAAACACAGATTTTAAGACAGGATTTTTTTTTTTTTTTTTTTTTATAGAAATTTTCTAAATTTTGGGCCAATATTGTCTGATAAAGAGAACATTTATATACATGTTTAAGCCAGAATGATTTCCCGTTTAAATATGATTTCCCTTCAACTTTAACAAAAACCTTCAAAATTCTCCAAAACCTTGGATCCGTTTCTGGAATAATCAGCGACTTTAAATCAGTTCTGGAAGTTTTATGCAGGATTTTCAGCTTTAACCCCTTAAACCCAGCAGGCTCAGTACAGTTGATCTAATTATAGAAATGGCCAAAACGCGTCACATGGTGTTTCATCCACACACCTTTCAAATGGGGCTTTAAAATTTCTAAAATATGTTTAAAAATGATTAAGTACTTTTTGTTTTATAGCTGTGTAAACAAATAAAATGAGATTTAAAATTCCACCTGAAGTGTGTGACTCTGTGGGAGTAATGTATACATTTTAGCCCCGCCCCCTAATGGCCGCCATCATTGGGAAGTAAAGGCTCAGACCTTTCCAAGAAGGGGTCAGAGGTCATTGTGTGACCATTTCAGGTGATGTAACCGGCATGTGTTACATAAGCTGCTCTGTTATTCTTATTTTCTATTCAGTTTAATGATATTATTGGTAAATTTTAATGAACTAACGGCTAAATCTGAGGAGCAAAGGCTTTGCCTCATGCAGAAGGTCCAATAATGGAAATCAGTGAATTTGGAAGAACAGATTCCCTTTTATCAGTGGAAAAATGCATTGGACCCTCCCTCTAACGACCCCCCTTTCAGAGACATAGACAGGTATGGGGCATTGCAGGCTAACAAAGAAGCCAAACGACCCCCATTCCGTTCTGTTTTTATTTGTTTGTTTGTTTTTCTTGAACCTGTCAGGATGTTTGGAGGTGAAGCCAACATGCAGGCAGGACTAAATATTGTCACTGAATGAGCTGATTTCATAAGCTTTATATTTAAACGAAAATTAGTTTGAAATATTTTTTTCTCAAATTATTGATTTTAATTGATCTTTCAGTCTTGAAATAACTTTAAATGTTTTTTCCATCTTTATAAAATGATTTTAAACATCAGATGTTGTGATGAGTCCCTCAGTACTTCAGCTGCCTTTTTTATTAAATACTTCTTACTCCTGAGTTCTTTATTAATACTCTGATTGTTGAGTAGTTTATTTTTCTCTGTTCATATTTATATAGTTTGAAATAAAAATTTTTTTTTTAATCAGAGATAATAAAGAAATTCTACCTTTTTTCTCATATTAAACTGAAATAAAATTAAAAAATCAGTTAACTTTAATTTATTTCTTTTTAATGGCCCTAATCGTCTTCCGTAGCACCGGCCTCTGAGCCTTCAGCTGACCTGCTGCGGGCCGGGGGGCCCTGGAAGCGGAGCTCCGAACTGGACCGCGGTCCGGACCGGTCCGACCAGCAGCAGGAGGCAGCGGGAAACCTTCATCCTGTCAGCGGAGCCATCCGGGATCAACCTGATGAGAAACGGACTGATCGGCAGTGATCCGCCACACTGAGAGGAACTTTTATAAACAGAAAAAAACACGCAAAGTGGGAAATGTCATAAAAAACGGCTTCGATTATGTTCAAATATTCCGATAAATATTCCTCCTTTATCCATTAGAATAAAACTCAGAGCTGGAGCAATGACATAAACATCTCATTTTTCAGTCTCCTTCAAAGCTCGCTTCCACTGGAGGCAGCCATGTTGGAAAACCGGCGGAACATCCTGGTCCTACACGATTATTGTCCCCCCGGAAACAAAACAACGAGTCGATAAATAGTTCCGAAGACTCCAAATGCTTACACTTAAAAGAAACGATCAAATCGGTCTTTTATATTAACTAATTTAAATAGAAATAGTTGAATTAACATTAAAGCGTTACTAAAAAAAACTGAAAAATAGTTACAAAAAACTATTTACCACTCCAGCGGAGCTAGATGGGGGGCCAGGGGTGGCCATGGCCACCCTAAGCAAATCATTGGCCACCCCAAGTAGAATATTCAAAACATTTTAATTGTATATATATTAACAATAAACAAAAACACTGTGGTTAATTATGCACCTCAATATACCAACATTAGAGATGAAATACAGAATTGGTGCTCTTTTCAGAACTAGATTTTGTGTTTTATGCAGTAAAGAGGAAATGATGTGTCTCTGCAAGTCATCTAAGAGTCTTCAGTGAAATCATGGATACTGTAAATAACTATTTTACTAAAAATCTATTAAATTATGTAGATAAATTTATGTAGATATTAGTACTTGTAAATATCAATTTAATGTAGAATGATACTGATAAAAGAAGGCAAGTAATGACGATGGAAAATATATTCGCTCCAGAACTCAAAACTCAAAGAATTTTATCCGATATAGCTTTTATCTAGACGGATGTTTAAATATGCATCTATTTGTTAGGAAAGGGCTGTAGGAAAATATAGTTTGTCTTTATTTAGAAATGTGGATGTTGTGCTTGTTCCTGTTGGACCTGTGTAGATTGACCCTGAGGTTCTGGTGCCTATCCACTTTTGGTCACCACTCAGTATACATTGGTTAGTGCCTGGCCACCATTATAAAAATGTTCTGGCTATGCCTCTGCCCCTGTGGCCACCCCCATCATTTATTTCCCTCTAATACAGACAGTAGCAGCAGTAATGCTATCATGAGGAATGTTTAAACTTATTAAACATTTACATTTTTCATATATTAATAGTAACCTAACAACAAAAATGCTGTGGTTAATTATGCACATTTGAATACTAACATTATAGTTGATATGTACAGAATTCATGCTCTTTTAAGACTCTAAATTTGTGTTATATGGGGTAAAGAGAAAATTATATGTCTCTGCAAGTCATCAAGGAGTTTTCAGTGAAATTATAGATGTATAAAATGGAAAAGATGTTTGCCCCAGACATTTTGTCCACTATACCTTTTATTTAGACAGCATGGATGTTTAAACATATGCATCTATTTGTAATCAAAAGAATAATAGTAGGAACGTATAGTTTGTCTTTATTTAGAAAATATCCATATTTGTTCTGCTCGTTCCTTGTTGGAACAGTGTAGATGAGCCCTTAGGTTCTGGCGCCTTTCCGCTTTTGACCACCCCTCAGTTTAAATTGGTTTTTGTCTGGCCACCCCTATTAAAATTTTCTGGCTACGCCTCTGTCAACTGAATCTTCTGTTTTCCTCGTCTCCTCCCTTTTGTCAGTCTGAATACTTGTTTTTAAATCAAATAAAATTATATACATTTTGAGCTTTTTTGTTTTCGTTGCATAATTACATAATCTAAACTCTCATCAAATAAACTTTTACAAATGAAAAAAACAATCATTAAACATTAAACCTGCAGATAGATTCTGATTAAAAGACAGAAATAAAGAAAACTAATCTACATTTGTGATACATGAAAACCTAAGAACTATTTGGCATAAATGATTTGGGGTATATTATAAGTAAGGAGGAATGGGACAAAATGTTATTAGATTCTTGTAAATTTGTAAAAGAGGCCAAAGGGAAATTTATTCAGTATAAATGAATACAAAGGTGGCATCAGGAATGTTTATGCATGCTGTCCGGGAATCCAATAAGATCCTCCCTTTCTTGGTATTAGATCTCATTGGTACATGGATTGTCATGACCGAGGTCATCAAGGTTATGTTTGCTGGGTGATAAATCTGGGATTCCAGGACAAGGGGGGATTTACCATTAGGCAATACCAGGCAGTTGCCTAGTAAACTCTGTTTCCATGTATGGTTAATACAACTATTCCTTATGTGTGCACATTAATTATGTTTTTGATAAACAGCCTGTCGCTTTCATTTCTGTGCACCTAGTTGTTGGTTTGCGCTCAGCGTGCATGATGTCACGCATCAGTGCTGCGCAGCTTGGAGGAGATCAACCTGACGTTCTGTGCTTTGATGGTACGATTTCAGGTCTTCTGATTGGTTGGTTCGGGTGTCTCTCATCCTCTCCTCACTCCGTAGATCAGAATCTGCAGCCCTCACCTTCCTGAGTCGTTCTAATCTAATTACAGCTAAATAAAGTTTTCACAGAGCCTCTAATGTCATACGAGTCTCTGGATTAAAGACATCACCTTTGATTCAGTTCAATTTATTTCTATAGCAACAATTCACATCAAGTCATCTCAGGTCACTTTCCAGTTCACCAGATCATCCAGTCAGATTGATTCAAAGTTTTCTATCTAAGGAAAACCAGCTGATTGCATCGACTCATTGACTCTTCAGCAATCCCTCACACTAAGCATGCTTGTAGCGACAGTGGAGAGGAAAAACTCCCTTTGAACAGGAAGAAACCTCCAGCAGAACCAGGCTCAGTGTGAGCGGCCATCTGCTGAGGCCCACTGGGGTTCAAGGAGACAGAAGCAGACATAGAAAAAGCAGCATAGATACAAAAGGCAACTGTCAACCAGCTCCACAGGCGGCCCCGTCCAGGAAACACACAGCCAGGCAGACGAGCTCCGAGCCAGCTCCCATGTCAGAGGATGAAGAGAGCACATCCAGTTAGTCACAGTCAGAGAAACAGGACTACACTGGAAAACAGGCCAAGCTCCAACATCTAGAAACAAAGGTGTTGATGGCAGCAGCACAGCTGATATTTCTCTCCAGGATGGAGTCACAGCCAAACAGGAACAGACCAGATGAAGCTACTATGAGAAAAAGCAGGGAGAGCAGAACGTTAGAGATTGAACTAACAGATTCTGCAGAGTGGGAGAATAGAGATAGAATGAAGCAGAATGATGAAAAAGGGGTCCCTATGTCCTCCAGCAGTCTAAGCCTATGGCAGCAGAACTATAGAGATAGATCAGGATAACCTGAGCCACTCTAACTAGAAGCTTTATCAAAAAGGAAAGTTTTAAGCCTAGCCTTAAAAGTAGACAGGGTGTCTGCCTCACGGACTAAAACTGGTAGTTGGTTCCACAGGAGAGGAGCCTGAGAACTAAAAGATCTGCCTCCCATTCTACTTTCAGAAATTCTAGGAACCACTAGTAAACCTGCAGATTGAGAGCGAAGTGCTCTGTTAGGAACATAAGGAACAATCAGATCTCTGATATCAGATGGAGCTTGGCCATTTAAGGCTTTATATGTGAGAAGGAGGATTTTAGATTCTATTCTGGATTTAACAATAGCAAGAACATTTATTTACATTTTTAAATAACTGATGTTTTATTTGTCTTTTAGGATTAAAAAAAACTAAAACTTTTTATATTTGCAAAAAAAGTATGACATTTTCTTCTATGGGATGCTGATATTTTTGTAAATCGGTGAAACAAAGGACATTCTTTCCAACCAAATGACAAGAGATAAAAATCCTCAGAAATGATTGAGTGGCCTGCCTCTCAATCATTTCAAATCTCTTTTAATTTGTGGATTTTTCATTTAAAATAAAATAAGATTTAAATGTTAAAGCTGTTTTGCAAACATCATAACAACTGTTTAATAAGAAAATCCGTGATCAGACAGCAAGCTGCAATCCCTGCATTGCCACAAAAACATTGCAGGAGGAATGGGTCTTCTTATGGTTCTTAGAATAATTGCATTTAAAGATCATTTAAACTAATAAAAATCTTCCTTATTTTCTCATAATAAGCTGAATACCCATGAAATATATATTTAAAGTCTGACATTTTATCCTGCAGCCACAAATGTAAAGGCTGCAGTACCGCTCAGCGTCGGATGGTGGCGACAAAGGCTAACTAATACACACCCTTGCATTCATGACGATTCAAAAGTTGGGGGTTTATTTTTTTTTAGGGTTTATTTCAGTTTCAGAATCAATTTATTTTGCAGTGAAAGATGCATTCTAGTTGGAGGGAAACCGGTAATGAGAATAAATTATATTTTTTTCAAACTTTCAGATAGAAATTACGCGTTATTCTTTTTAAAACGCTTTTAAAATTACTTGCTATGGACTCAATACAGCGCAGGGGTTTTATTTAGAGGGAAAACGCGTTTCCGGGGTTTGCTCTTCGCGCAGTTTTCGCAGATTGACGCGCAGCCGCGTGCGTGTAGCTGCGCAACACTCCTCCCTCTCTCGCTCTCAGCATGGAAAAGTCACCGTAGTCTGACGTTGACTCTGCATCCAAACAAACTGCACTTTTCAGGCTGAAGCGGAGACATTGGAGAATGGATTCCTCCACCAACAGTTTGGGTGAGTGAAACAAACCAAACGCGCCGTTATTCTGCGCATTTATTCTGCGCATTTCTCTTCTGCTGCCATTAGTCGCAACTCTAAGGCTTTGTGTGAAAACGTCCCTCCTGTGTTGTGAAGTTCAGCTGAGAGTAAAACATCTAATCAGTCGGTCAGTGTTGATGGGAAACATCCAGGATTCTGATGTGAAGCTGATCTCAGACGCTTAGATTGGAGGTTGTTTTTTTTTTCTTGTTTTTGCGCAGTTCTGCCGCATTCTTCTGTGTTTTGATAGAGAGAAACAGGCAAGTTGGAACAGAGTCGCTGCTGAAAGCCCAGAATCATCAGTCGGACCATCGGTGAAGTGTGTGTGAGGACCGTGACGTGACCACACTCCTCATGCGTTGGTGTGAGAGGGTGTGTGCGCGCGCGCATGTGGAGGAGCTGCAGACTTTTGGTCGTTTGCGCTTCTGCACGCGCCAGTTTGGTGTTAAAGGGATGAGTGTCTGATGGAGCGCAGTGCAGGCGGGCTCAGCTCAGGATGGTGGAAAGTTTTAGTTTCTCAGGTGGAGGATTCTGGGCTCTGGT